AATCTCAAGCCCTTTCCACACAGCTGAATAAAATCCACATTGTACTGGATTATATGGTTGGGTGGACTCAGGCCCCTTCCACACAGCTGAATAAAATCCCTCATTTTCTGCTTTGAATTGGAATACAGTATTCACTCATTTATCGCGGGTGTTCCGTTCCAGGACCACCCGTGAAAAGTGAAAATCCGCAAAGTAGGGATGCTATATATGTATATCGCATTCTGAGGGTGAGGCAGAAGCAAGGATTTAAAGGCACCACCCACTTTTTTTTCTTTTTCTTTTTTGCTATCTCTGCTTAGCTTTGCAATCTCTCTTGATGGGCTGGGTGAAACCCCCTTCCACACTCCATCATTGCCAGGAGGTGGGATTAGAATGCCGTTCTCAGCAACGGCAACCATTCATAAACTGGGAGGCAAAAACTCGCGAAACAGCAAGTCCGCAAAAAGTGAACCGCGAAGTAGCGAAGGGACACTGAATATGGACACAGTGTGGACTCAGATATCCTAGTCCAAAGCAGATATTGTGGGATGTTCTGCCTTGATATTCTGGGATATAGGGCTGTGTGGAAGTGCCTGAAGAGTCCTTCCCCACAGCTATATAACCGAGAATATGGCCCAGATTACCTGTCTGAACCAGGCCCGTAGCCAGGATTTTGATTCGGGGGGGGGGGGGGGGGGGGGGGTGAGCTGAGGATCTACCCTAGCAAACCTTTTGTATCATTATCCCAATACCCCATGCATATGGGATATATTGAGCATGGTGATCAGATCATGATATGAATAAACATAACAGTTTAAATAATGTACCAGTAAGGCCTTCTCACGGACCACCATGAGAATTTGGGGGGGGGGGCTGAAGCCCCTCAAGCCCCCCCCCCCTCCCCTGGCTACGGCCCTAGTCCGTACATATCTCCTGTTATGAACCATCACAAAGTTTAAGATCGTCAGAGGGGGCCCTGGTCTCGATCCCAGCACTCTCATGGTGATCAGATCATATGAATAAACATAACAGTTTAAATAATGTACTATTGAGGCCTTCTCGCAGACCACCCGGAGAATTTCGGGGGGGGGCTCAAGCCCCCCCCCCCTCCCCCAGCTACGGCCCTAGTCCGAACATATCTCCTGTTATGAACCATCACAAAGTTTAAGATCGTCAGAGGGGGCCCTGGTCTCGATCCTAGCACTCTCATAAACGAGACAGGTCCTTCTCGACAGTGCCCCCCTCATCTGAGGCCACCTCCTACCTGTTCTTTAGAGGACAACTGAAGACTTGGTTTTGGGACCAGGCGTTCGACTAGTGGACAGCGACAATTGGAAAGGAAATTTAGGACATCAGAGACATTGCATTTACCCAACTTGGTCTTGGTTTTAATTGGCATGTTTTAATTTGTTGTTTAATGATCTTGGGAATGAATTTTTAATGATTTTTACTGTTTTAACTGTAATCTTTGTTGTTATATGCTGACAGCATCACATGATGCTTATTTGAAGCCGCCCTGAGTCCCCCTTCTGGGGGAAGAAGGGCAGGGTAGAAATGCATGAAATCTATATAAATAAAAATGTAATTTTCGTTTGTGGGATTAACAGAACTCAAAAACCACTGGACGAATTGCTGCTAAATTTGGCCACGAGAACCAAACTTGGCACACAGAACTACCATGACAAACAGGGAATACTGGAAGAGTTTGGTGGACATTGACATTTGGAGTTGTAGTTCACCTATATCCAGAGAGCACTGTGGATTCAAACAATGATGGATCTGGACCAAACTCTACACGAATACTCAATGTGCCCAAATGTGAACACTGGTGGAGTTTGGGGAAAATAGAATCTTGACATTTGGGAGTTGTAGTTGCTGAGATTTATAGTTCACCTACAATCAAAGAGCATTCTGAACCCCACCGATGATAGAATTAAGTCAAACTTCCCACACAAGACACCCATGACTAAAACATACTAGCTGTCCCCTGCCAGGCGTTGCTGTGGCCCACATGGGGGTTCTGTGTGGGAGGTTTGGCCCAATTCTATCGTTGGTGTGGTTCAGAATGCTCTGTGATTGTAGGTGAACTATAAATCCCAGCAACTACAACTCCCAAATGTCAAGATTCAATTTTCCCCAAACTCCACCAGTGTTCACATCTGGGCATATTGAGTATTGTAGGTGAACTATAATTCCCAGTAAGTACAAATCCCAAATGTCAAGGTCTATTTCCCCCAAATTCCATCTGTGTTCATATTTGGGCATATTGAGTGCTTGTGCCAAGTTTGGTCCAGATCCATCATTGTTTGAGTCAACAGTGCTCTCTGGATGTAGGTGAACTACAACTCCCAAACTCAAGGTCAATGCCCACCAAACCCTTCTAATGTTTTCTATTGTTCATGGGAGAACTGTGGGCCACATTTGGTTCAATTCCATCATTGGTGGAGTTCAGGATGCTCTTTGATTGTAGGTAAACTATAAATCCCAGAAAGTACAACTCCCAAATGTCAAGATTCCATTTTCCCCAAACTCCACCAGTGTTCACATATGGGCATATTGAGTATTCATGTAGAGTTTGGCCCAGATCCAGCATTGTTTGAGTCCACAGTGCTCTCTGGATGTAGGTGAACTACAACTCCAAAACAAAGGACACTGCCACCAAATCCTTCCAGTATTTTCTATTGTTCATGGGAGAACTGTGTGCCAAGTTTGGTCCAATTCTATTGTTGGTGGGGTTCAGAATGCTCTTTGATTGTAGGTGAACTATAAATCCCAGCAAGTACAACTCCCAAATGTCAAGATCTATTTCCCTCAAACCCCATCTGTGTTCATATTTGGGCATATGGAATATTCATGCCAAGTTTGGTCCAGATCCATCATTATTTGTGTCCATCTGGATGTAGGTGAACTACAATTCCCAAACTCAAGGTTAGTGCCCACCAACCCCTTCTAGTGTTTTCTGTTGGTCATGGGAGCCCTTTGTGCTAAGTTTGGCCCAATTCCATCATTGGTGGAGTTCAGAATGCTCTTTGATTGTAGGTAAACTATAAATCCCAGCAACGATAATTCCCAAATGACAAAATCAATTTTTTTGAGTGGAGGACATACACTGGGTTGTTAGGTGTCTTGTGTCCAAATTTGGTGTCAATTCCCCCAGTGGTTTTTGAGTTCTGTCAATCCCACAAACGAACATTACATTTTTATTTATATAGATCACAACCCTGTTCAAAGCAGATATTGTGGGATTTTCTCCCTTGATACTCTGGGTTATATGGCTGTGTGGAAGGGCCCTTTGCCAGGCAGGTCCAGAGTAGGAAGCTTCCCACAGAGTATTGTTATTGTGTGGCAAGTGCTGAACATCGCAAGTGCTGAACCTGACTCAGCACATAGAAGATGGCTTTGAAAAGCAGCAGATCAGAGGAGCTGTCTTCATAGACCTGTCAGCGGCTTATGATACTGTGAACCACCGCCTCCTTCTGAGAAAAATGTATACTATCACAAAGGACTACCACTTCACCCGCCTCATAGGAAACCTGCTACAAAACAGGAGCTTTTTGTTGAGTTCCAGGGCCAGAGAAGCAGATGGCGGAAACAGAAGAACGGCCTGCCTCAGGGGAGCGTGCTTGCTCCATCCATGTTCAACATCTACACAAATGACCAGCCACTGCCAGAAGGGACAGAGAGTTTCATCTATGCTGATGATCGTGCCATTACCGCTCAAGCAGGGAGCTTTGAGATGGTTGAACAGAAGCTCTCCGAAGCTCTAGGTGCTCTTACTGCCTATTACAGGGAAAACCAGCTGATCCCTAATCCATATAAAACACAGACATGTGCCTTTCACCTTAAGAACAGACAAGCATCCTGAGCTCTGAGGATTACCTGGGAAGGAATCCCACTGGAGCATTGCAGCACACCCAAATACCTGGGAGTCACTCTGGACCGTGCTCTGACCTACAAGAAGCACTGCCTGAACATCAAGCAACAAGTGGGCGCTAGAAACAATATCATACGAAAGCTGACTGGCACAACCTGGGGATCACAACCAGACACAGTGAAGACATCTGCCTTTGCGCTATGCTACTCTGCTGCTGAGTACGCATGCCCAGTGTGGAACACATCTCACCACTAAAACAGTGGATGTGGCTCTTAATGAGACATGCCGCATTATCACGGGGTGTCTGCGCCCTACACCACTGGAGAAATTACACTTCTTAGCTGGTATTGCACCACCTGACATCCGCCGGGAAGTAGCAGCCAATAGTGAAAGGACCAAGGCAGAGACATCTCCACCTCATCCCCTGTTTGGGTATCAGCCAGCACGTCAACGACTTAAATCAAGAAATAGTTTTCTTAGATCTACAGAGACACTCGCTGGAACACCTCAGCAAGCGAGAGTCCAAAAGTGGCAGGCTCAACCCAGCACCTCAATCCATGGGTGATACCAGATGAGAGACTCCCCCCTGGGCACACAGAAGACTGGGCGACTTGGAAGGCGCTGAACAGACTGCGCTCTGGCACCGCGAGATGCAGAGCCAATCTTAAGAAATGGGGCTACAAATTGGAATCCATGACATGCGAGTGTGGAGAGGAGCAAACCACTGACCACCTGCTTCAATGCAACCTGAGCCCCGCCACATGCACAATGGAGGACCTTCTTGCGGCAACACCAGAGGCACTCCAAGTGGCCAGATACTGGTCAAAGGACATTTAGCCAACTACCAAGTTTTCAAAATTTGTGGGGTTTTTTTTAATGTTTGTTTGTTTTGCTCTGTTAGAAATGTAATACAATGTTCTGGTTGCGGATGACACGATAAATAAATAAATAAATAGTGTGGCAGGAGAGACACAGGGAGTGGGGTCTGAGGCCTAGAGGGTGCTGCGTGGCCCTCCTTGGCGCAGGGCCCTTGCGCTTTGAGGCCCTCTCGGCCTCTTCCTCGGCCGCTCCGCCTCCGTCCCTCAGCGACGAGGCGCACCTGGGCCGCCCTTCCCTCGCGCCTGACGTCGAGCGGCGTCCAACCCAGCCTTGCATCCGCCGCGTATATATAGCCCTCTCGGCTCCACAGACGGGGCTATGGAGCGCCCGTCTCGCGCCGCGCCGGCCTCCGCTTTGAAACGCTTCGGCGCTCTTTAGCCAGGACCACCACTCCGTGACGTCATCCTGCCTGCCTTGACGATGCGCGCCGTCCTCTCCCTCCTTTGGCCGCTGCTCTGGAGCTCAGGTGACTGGCTGAAGTCGAGCGCGCGGGTTGGGGAAGGGAGGGGGGAGCGCGCGAGAGAGCGAGCGCGAGGGGCTGCCGAGGGGCGGGGCGTCGTCGAAGGGGCTGAGCGAGGAACCCAAAGCGCGCGCTTTTCTTAAGGAAGGCGGTGGTGCTTGGTCTGTCTAGCTCTGTTTCTCAACCTAGGGATCGGGACCCCTGAGGGGGTCGCCAAAGTCCATCAGGAAACACAGTATTTTCTGTCGGTCATGGGGGAAATTTGGCCCAATTCTATCGTTGGTGGGGTTCAGAATGCTCTCTGATTGTAGGTGAACTATAAATCCCAGGAACTACAACTCCCAAATGCCAAGGTCTATTTCCCCCAATGCTCACTGGAGGGAAGGATACTAGAGACCAAGTTGAAGTACTTTGGCCACATCATGAGGAGACAGCAAAGCCTAGAGAAGACAATTATGCTGGGGAAAGTGGAAGGCAAAAGGAAGAGGGGCTGACCAAGGGCAAGATGGATGGATGGCATCCTTGAAGTGACTGGCCTGACCTTGAAGGAGCTGGGGGTGGTGACGGCCGACAGGGAGCTCTGGCGTGGGCTGGTCCATGAGGTCACGAAGAGTCGGAGACGACTGAACGAATGAACAACAACATTTCCCCCAAACTCTACCAGTGTTCACATTTCGGCATATTGAGTATTTGTGCCAAGTTTGGTCCAGATCTATCTATATAGATAGCCCTATGAGGAGCGGCTTAAGGAGCTGGGTATGTTTAGCCTGAAGAAGAGAAGGCTGAGAGGAGATATGATAGCCATGTATAAATATGTGAGAGGAAGCCACAGGGAGGAGGAGGTTGTTTTCTGCTTCCCTGGAGACTAGGACGCAGAACAATGGCTTCAAACTACAAGAGAAGAGATTCCGTCTGAACATGAGGAAGAACTTCCTGACTGTGAGAGCTGTTCAGCAGTGGAACTCTCTGCCCCGGAGTGTGGTGGAGGCTCCTTCTTTGGAAGCTTTCAAACAGAGGCTGGATGGTCATCTGTCAGGGGTGATTTGAATGCAATATTCCTGCTTCTTGGCAGGGGGTTGGACTGGATGGCCCATGAGGTCTCTTCCAACTCTTTGATTTTATGATTCTATATCTATAGCTAGATAGCTCTTTGTCAGGAAGGCTTTGATTATGTTTTCTTGCCCCGATGAAGGGAGTTGGATTGGATGGCCTTAAGTATTTTCTGTTGGTCATGGGGGTTCTGTGTGGGAAGTTTGCCCCGATTCTGTCGTTCGTGGGGTTCAGAATGCTCTTTGTAGGTGAACTATAAATCCCAGCAACTACAGCTCCCAAATGTCAAGGTCTATTTTCCTCAAACTCTACCAGTGTTCACATTTGGGCATATTGACTATTTGTGACAAGTTTGGTCCAGATCCATCATTGTTTGAGTCCACAGTGCTCTCTAGATGTAAGTGAACTACAACTCCAAACTCGTCAATGCCCACCAAACCCAGTGTTTTCTGTTGGCCATGGGAGTTTTGTGTGCCAAGTTTGGTTCAATTACATCATTGTTTGTGTGTGTGTGTGTGTGTGTATGTATGTGTCAGGAGAGACTTGAGAAACTGCAAGTCACTTCTATTGTGAGAGAATTGGCCATCTGCAAGAATGTTGCCAAGGGGACGCCCGGATGTTTTGATGTTTTATCATCCTTGTGGGAGGCTTCCCTCATGTCCCCGCATGAGGAGCTGGAGCTGGTAGAGGGAGCTCATCTGCCTCTCCCCGGATTCGAACCTGCAACCTGTCGGTCTTCAGTCCTGCCAGCACAGGGGTTTAACCCACTGCGCCACCAGGGGCTCCTTCCATCATTGGTGGAGTTCAGATTATAGGTGAACTATAAATCCCAACAACTCCCACTCCCAAATGACAAAATCAATCAATCTCCCCTCCTCCCAATCCCACCACTATTCAAATTTGGGCATATCGGGTATTTGTGCCAAATTTTGTCCAGTGAAAATACATCCTGCTTATCAGATAATTGCATTACCATTCATAACAGGAGCAAAATGACAGTTATGAAGAAGTAAAATAATGGTATGGTTGGGGGTCACCACAACATGAGGAACTGTGTTAAGAGGTCGCGGCATTAGGAAGATTGAGAAACATTGGTCTATCTGAAGAGGGGTTGCATCTTGATTCAGAAGCTGGGGGCCCTTCTATACCGCCATATAATCCAGGTTATCAAAGCAGATAATCCACATTATCTGCTTTGAACTGGATTATATGAGTCTACACTACTATATAATCCAGTTATAATCTGGATTTTATATGGCAATGTAGAAGGGAACTGGATTATATGGCAGTGTAGATCCAGCCAGAGCCTGTTTCCTATAGTCTTACATTTATTATTATTATTATTATTATTATTATTATTATTATTATTTTACTGACACAAAAACACAATGTCACAGCAAATGAGATATATATGCTGGGTTTCGTATCGCAAAATCACAAGTCGAACACGCATCTAGGACTGTGTGAAGTTATTATTTGAAACACAACAAGATGAGTCCACGGCAGACAAGATCACTCTGCTGGCTGTTGTATTAGATCACACATTATTATTATTATTATTATTATTATTATTATTATTATTATTATTATCTTCATTTATATCCTGCCTTTCTCTCCAGTAGGGACTCAAGGTGGCAAACAACCACACAATCTAATAAGAATTGAAAACAAATGTGACAATTAAATATTAGTGTGTGGCTATAGAGTTAAAATACAATCAATACAATTAACATTACATTTATTGTAACTTTATTGATATCCTGCCTTTCTCCCTGGGAGGGATTCAAAGTAGCTGACAACCACACAATGCAATAATTGAAAAGAAAACAAATTTGACAATTCAATATTAGTATGTGGATATAGTGTTAAAATACAATCAGTGCAATTAAAATTCATTTAATTGTAACTTTATTGATAGCCTGCCTTTCTCCCCAGTAGGGACTCAAGGCAACTAACAAACCCCACAATCTAATAACGATTTAAAACAGAACAAATACAAGGCAAGAGGGATGGGACCATCCTGATCTCTTCAAGGGGAGTTTGAAAGTCTGGGGCCCCTTCCACACACTGTATAAAATCCACATTGAATTGGGCTATATGGCAGTGTGGACTAGATAACGCAGTTCAAAGCAGATATTGTGGATTATCTGCCTTGATATTCTTGATTATATGGCTATATAGAAGAACCCTTGAGAAGCCACCAAAAAGGCCCAGATGATCATTGATATCTGACTGGTTGCGACAGCTGTGTGAGCTGGGTTGCCAAGTGAAAACCTGGCGATGGCTGCTGTATCTTTAATAATGCATAGAATAGGGAATGTCAGCAGGTGTCAGGCAGCCAGGTAAAGCACCACATATTGAAATCCTCTCATGTACAGATCAATTAAAGGTTCAAAAGTGACTCTGCTTTGGTTAGACCACATCTGGAATATTGTGTCCAATTGTGGGCACCACAATTCAAGAGAGATATTGACAAGCTGGAATGTGTCCAGAGGAGGGCGACTAAAATGATCAAGGGTCTGGAGAACAAGCCCTATGAGGAGCGGCTTAGGGAACTGGGCATGTTTAGCCTGAAGAAGAGAAGGCTGAGAGGAGATATGATAGCCATGTATAAATATGTGAGAGGACGCCACAGGGAGGAGGGAGCAAGCTTGTTTTCTGCTTCCTTGGAGACTAGGACGCGGAACAATGGCTTCAAACTACAAGAGAGGAGATTCCATCTGAACATTAGGAAGAACTTCCTGACTGTGAGAGCCGTTCAGCAGTGGAACTCTCTGCCCCGGAGTGTGGTGGAGGCGCCTTCTTTGGAAGCTTTTAAGCAGAGGCTGGATGGCCATTTGTCAGGGGTGATTTGAATGCAATATTCCTGCTTCTTGGCAGGGGGTTGGACTGGATGGCCCATGAGGTCTCTTCCAACTCTTTGATTCTAATGATTCTATGACCTCCAGTTCTCACTCTGGCACCCATATATGTAAGGCGATCCCATATTGTTTTCCTATTGTAGATGAAGCCAGATATTGGCTTGCACTTGGACACCTTGTTCAATGCCCGACTGTGGCAACTTTTTGAATTCACAATTTGAATTAACGATATACTCACTTCCATTTTCCCAATTGATTTGAGTGCTTATCCCACTATGTTCAGCATCACTAATTTAAAGTTTAGTATTCATGGAGTGTGAGCTGTGTGTGTACATGCCTTCTAGGCACCTGTCAACTTATGGTGACCCCATAAGTTGCAGTTGCTATCGTTCTCCTCCTAGAACTCCGTACAGTCCCTTTTCATTTAACAACTCCATTAAACTTTATGACTTTATGAATAGAAATGTTGTTACTGATGCTGGATCTGATTGTCTGTGATTTCCTCCCTTAATTTAAGCTTCGGCCTGGCTTTCTGGCCCAAACCCAGTGTGTCATCTATAAGATGTGGCTATTAAAAAGAACCAGCCACATCTGTCTTATGTACAGGGATGACTTGTTTGTTTCAGTAGTCTGATGGGTGGGAATGTTTATATGAGAACATTAAAATAGATCCTTGGAAAGATGAGGAAATAGATGGATAAAATCTTTGGCATTCACAGTGGGACTTTGCCACCAAATCTTGACATTATCTTAATTAGCTCATGTTTTGTTGTTATTGTTGTTTTGTTTGTTTGTTTTGGCTAGTATGGGGACTAGCCCTTCTCCCCTCTCTGCTTACACAGCTCACTTGCTAGGATTCTGGCTGATGGTACATAACAACCTAGGACTTGGGAGCCACATTTAAAATACTAGGGCAGCATAAATGAATGCTGAGAAAAGCTGAGAGCTGCTTCTTGAGTGACTCACTGTTGAATTGGAGTACATATGCAATAACTGCCTAATGTAATTTTCAGGTAAACATCTCTCTGCTGTGTTTTGGCTGACTAGTAAGAATGGCATCCTGATGTGTTTCATTTCTCTTCTGTAGCGTACCAACATGCTGCTGGATTAGAGCTAAATGTGACTGAACAACAGCAAGATATGTCCATCCTGAGGACTTCCAACATATCTGCAACTGAGATGGTTTCATCTGGAGTTGACTTTGAAGAGGAAGATGTAAAGGAAGTTAGGGCACCACACTTGCTTGTTGGTGACTCAGACAGAGGTATGTATTCAAGAGGAGTTTTTTCTTGTAAAGATCCTTCATTCTTGATTGTGAGTCACATGGAGACACACCTGTTGTAGGGATGCGAGTTTTGGTAAAGAGCTGCTCATTTCTCTCTCTCTTATAAAGAAAGACAGAAAGAAATCAAATGAGCACATCTGATTGGCCTGTAATGATACAGAAAGTTTAGAATGAACACCAAAAGAAGTTTACTTCTCTCTTTTCTTGTTTACTGCTGTTTACTGTTGAGTGAGTGTGAGATGTTAAAAGTTAAGCATTTTGATAATTGGGAAATCCTATGTAATCTTTGTTTTGTTTTACTTAAAATAATAAGCAAAACTTACATTTAATGTCAAGCAATTATAAACATTAATAGCCTGGCTGCTTCCTAACTGTGCTGTTCAAACTGAATGAAGGCCCCATCTACTTTTTTTTCTCTCGTGTCAGGGCAGCCAGTCAATTATATTACATTTCTAACAGAACAAAGCAAACAAACAGACAAATACAAAATTTGTGAGTTTGGTAGTTGATTAAATGTCCTTTGACCAGTATCTGGCCACTTGGAGTGCTTCTGGTGTTGCTGCAAGAAGGTCCTCCATGGTGCATGTGGCAGGGCTCAGGTTGCATTGCAGCAGGTGGTCAGTGGTTTGCTCTTCTCCACACTCACATGTTGAGGATTCCACTTTGTAGCCCCATTTCTGAAGGTTGGCTCTGCATCTCGTGGTGCCAGAGCGCAGTCTGTTCAGCGCCTTCCAAGTCGCCCAGTCCTCTGTGTGCCCAGGGGGGAGTCTCTCATTTGGTATCAGCCATTGGTTGAGGTTCTGGGTTTGAGCCTGCAACTTTTGGACTCTCGCTTGCTGAGGTGTTCCAGCGAGTGTCTCTGTAGATCTTAGAAAACTATGTCTGGATTTACGTCTTTGACATGCTGGCTGATACCCAAACAGGGGATGAGCTGGAGATGTCTCTGCCTTGGTCCTTTCACTATTGGCTGCCACTTCCCGGCGGATGTCAGGTGGTCCATCTACAATGACCATTTAATGCAGTTTTAAACCAGTATTGATGAAAGTAATTTCACTGTGCAAATGACTGCATAGGAAATCCTGGAAGTAGTTTGAGATGGTGATTGCATAAACAACAGAGCACTGGTGGGCTTACTTTTGCACGCTTTTGTGGGAGTTTATTGTCTCACCAACACAATTTCAGGATAGTTTAAAGCTGCATTATATGGCGGTGTAGATGGGACCCTAGTCACAACTAACTGAAAAAAATCAGGATTTTACCTGTAATTTCTGTTGGAGGTTACACACAGTTTGAAGCCATCTTGAGGTTGGTGTACCTACAAAACGAACATCCCCAATGCATGCTGCAGCATGCATCAAGAGCGAAACAGCGTATTAAAATACTCACCAGAAATTCCAAAATAAGAAATAAATATGCTGCAGTTGATCAGCATATATGCCATGCAGGGCTGAAATCGAGACTGAGCACTCTTCAGTACAGAGCTAATGCTGAAACATTTGAAAAACCTGGAAACACAGCTGGTGGGAACAGAGGCGGCCCTAGGTAATTTTCAACAGTAAGCAAACAGTATTTTGCCCCCCACCCCCAACCAATCATTGATATATATTTTCTGTTCGTCATGGGAGTTCTGTGTGCCATATTTGGTTCAATTCCATCATTGGTGGAGTTCAGAATGCTCTTTGATTTTAGGTGAACTATACATCCGAGTAACTACAACTCGCATATGTCATGGTCTATTTTCCCCCAAGAGTGCCTCAAGAGCGCCCCTGGGCAAAATCAACTATACTGCAAATGCTTACTGTGCGTAATGGGTTGAGCCGCCCCTGGGTGGGAAGGTAAACAAACACCACCACTCCAGAGAGGAAGCCACAGCATTTCCACCGGAATGCTTGCTTTCTGATACTCAGTGGTACTCAACCTGGGGTCCCCAGATGTTTTTTGCCTACAACTCCCAGAAATCCCAGCCAGTTTACCAGCTGTTAGGATTTCTGGGAGTTGAAGGCCAAAAACATCTGGGGACCCACAGGTTGAAAACCACTGTCAGATACATTATCTCCATTTGGTCTGACCTGCCTTGGTCTAGTGCTAATTCTGAATGGTCATGATGACACACATCCTAGCAGACTAGGTAAGAAAAACATATTCCTGGATTTGGATCAACCTGCAATCAGTGGATATTTGAGGCTTCCATCCCAGCCTCCAACCAGTTCCTGGGGTGCTTGTGTAGATGCTCCACAGTGAACTAGTTATCTTTAATTCACTTCCTGATTCAGTTTAATTGGCTGTGTAGAACTGCCCTTAGACGTAGCAAAATATATAACAAAAAACATTCAGAAAGGATGCAGGGATCAGGATCAATCCAAAGAACAATGACCAGCAAATGTGTTGCTGTGACTACACGCACAGTGTTGACTGCAGGTGGTCTTTCTTTCTTCCTCAGTGAATACTGGTAGTTCTGTTCCTATGGAGGCAGGGGATGTAAAAAGCTCCAAATACAGTCCTCAGAAATCTCATAAAACTATAAAGTTCATTAGAATGTAAGAAAAAACCCTGGTTTTTAGTCAATAATATGTTCATACAATACCCAGCCACATGACAATGAAAACCCATCCTAATCATGTTCATCTGCTGTCAGTTTTCAGAGGCAGATTGTATACGATGCTGAAGGCAATATATATTCTTTATGACTATAGTATGATCCTCATATCCACAACTTGATATATTTGGGGCAGAAAATTCTACAAGATCTGCTTTGAACTGGGTTATCTGAGTCCATGCTGCCATATATTCCAGTTAAAACCAGATAATGTGGGATTTTTATTTTTTTTAGCTGTGTGGAAGGGGCCATGGGTTTGCCTACCTACACTCCGCAAAATATTCCCCTTGGAATTGTTTGTGGGCCTCTCTAAATCCTCTATTACTGTTCTGTGGTGTTTCATGGCCAAATATAATCAAAATATGACTTTAACAATTTGTGGTTTCAGGTATCTATAGGGGGTCTTGGAATGCATCTCATCATGGGGAAAAACTAATTGGAGTCATGGGTGGGCAGTATGGCTATGACAGAGATAGATATAGGGGTCATACTAGTAACTATTGATAGCACTATCATCCTTTAGTTTGTCTCATCCCCCTGTAAAGCTCTCAAACTTAGTGGACATGTCTTCTAATAAGTCTTCTAATATTCACGTACATGGTTCCTGTACTATGAAAGATCACCTTTCTCTACACTGTGTGTACTTTTATAGACTTCTGTCAGGCCTCCACCCACTCCTTCTTTTTCTGAGCTACACTATCACAAACATTGTACCCTTTTCTCCCTAAGGGACTCTCTCCAGCTACTTAACCATTTAAATCAATATTCCAGGTATGATCACATCATGCAGTATGATATTACCAATTTTGTTTTGAATTCATTTTCCCTTTTCATAGTAGGCACACACTGGCTTTACATCTTCTTCAAGCTCTCTACCATAACCCCAAGGTTTTTCTTCACCCAATTGAGCCCACCCATGTAATTTTATGCCCACTCCCTCCGTTTGAAGAGATATCTTTGAATCTCTTAGCACAGTGGTTCTCAACCTGGGGTCCCCAGATATTTTTGGCCTTCAACTCCCAGAAATCCTAACAGCTGGTAAACTGGCTGGGATTTCTGGGAGTTGTAGGCCAAAAACATCTGGAGACCCCAGGTTGAGAACCACTGTAGCAGGTTTGTTTTTGCTTTAACCATCCATAGCAATCTGGTGCCATCAGCAAATTTGGCCATGCAAGGCCCACCCATGACTCCAATTAGTTTCTTTCCATGATTCTTTGCAGAAAATAATATATGTCAATATTATCAAACCAATGAGTTTCTTAAAAGGTACGTTGCTTCTGTCAGGAACCTATTCTTCATGATAGTTTTGAACCTCAGTTATGGAAAAAAGAATACAATACTCCAATATAGAGAATGCTGTTTTAATTAGCTTACTATTAACATTAATTTATATTGCTTTATGTTAATCAGCCTGTAACCTGACATAGATGAGCGCTAAACATGTTTGGCATAAAGTCAACATCAAGATGTTGTTTGTGTAGTTGTGTATGAATTAGAAAATGTTATCCCTCCCCCTCCATGTCAATTGAATTGGATTTTCTTCCATTAATAGTACTTTACTTTGAAACTGAAATCTCTCAAAACCTGGACAATCTTTTAATCTTGCTCTCTCATAATCAAGAGATGAGCCAGGGCTAATACAATTCAAAAGAACTGGAGTGCAGTGCTTTCTGAAAAATGCCCTTAACTATCACCTTTAACTTTGTGACAAACTCAGCTAAAGCTTGAGCTATTTTCTCTCCTATAATATTAGGGTTGGGAAAATCACTGTTTCTCATCCATGTTATTATCACATGTATGTTCCATCCCATATCTCTACTGATCTGCACAGAAAGGTCACATTTATATATTCATTTCTCAATGTGTTCCTCCAAAATACATTTGCATAAGTTTAGGGGTTTCTTTAGCTATATGAGAATATTTGCAAAGTATAAAAGTTTGAAGATTAGTTATGAGCATTAGGGCCGAGAGTATAAATCAAATTGTTTGGTATCTAATTTCAATTAACCAGAAGTCATCAGACATCTAAATCTGTGGTCCCCCCCCCCCCAAATCTTTGGATTTGGCACCCACAGATTCAACCAACCATCTGTCAAAAAAAATTTTTTTTACAAAATCCAAACAGCAAATTTTCATTTTGGTATTTTACTACACCATTGTCTATAATGGGACTTGAGCATCCGCACGTTTTGATATTTACAGGTCTACTGAAATACATTGGTCTCAATCTAATTACAAATCCTAACTAGAGTATATTCATTGGGTCAACACTTGATTAACACTTTGGGACCCAGTCCTTGAAGAAAAAAAACAGTTTAATTAGCTTACTATTGTCATCATATACAAATATGATGATGATGATACAGCAATAATAATAACAACA